TGTGGGCCAGAGCCCCGCGTTTTCCCTCCTTGCTTCCATCCCCCGCACGGCTGATGAGGCGGGGGCGGGGCGGCCCCTCTCCCGCCCCAGGAAGGAAACCGAGGCGCCTGGGCTACAGACTTTGTTTCCCCCCTAAGCGCTGCCTCGAGCTCTGGCTCCTTGAACGGCAGGTTTCACCCAAACTTTCCAGTCCTCCTTTGTGCCTGGAAATGGCCGGGCCGGCTGCGTGACTCTTCAGCGTGTTGTCTTCTGCAAGCCTTGTGCTGATCCAGGACTTGGATCCCACTATAGTAGCGCCTCTTCGTTGCAACAGAGCTGCTGTAGTTGGCCCCTGTAGGGTTTGTAATACTTGCCCCCCTCTTGGCTCAACAGTAATGCTGCATTAGCAGCCTCCGGCATTGGGCCTGTGTTTTCTCTATAAGTAGGGAAGCATAAAGCAGCTGGAATGGGTAGATAAGGCTGTGTTCCTCTTGTTGCTGCAAGGTAGCCAAAGAGCAAAAAAATCTGTCAAGTCAGCTCTAAAATACTCCCTGGGGAAATTCTGTGGCCATGTTAAAAATGTGCTTATTTGTCAAAATAATGCAATATAATTACTAGGGATGTTAAAAATCAGTTATTTTAGTAACTGCTCCATGAGGCAGCCCCTGTCCTTAGAGAGCTTATAGGGAGTATAGAAGGCTGGTGTGGGAAAGTCTCACCGACTTTGCCCTGCAGTCGAAAACTCTGATTGCTAAGGGAGTACTGTTCCTGAGCAGGAGTTGCCAGGTTCCACAGTGACAGCAGAAAGAAGGAAGCCAGTGACCCTGCGGAGTTCTCACCTAATTGGTTCCAGTAGAGAAACTTGAAACTTTGGGAGTGAGACAACAGGAGGGAAAGACCCAGGAGAATGGATGGCCTTAAACTCTATTTTGAATGCTTGTTAACCTAATAAAGCAAAACACAAGGGCTGTGTCTATGTTGGTGAGTTCTTGCATAAGGGTTCTTGTGCAAGAACTCGTGTGCAAGAACACGTCCACACTGCCATGTGCTTTTGTGCAAGAGCATCCATGGCAGTGTGGATGCTCTCTTGCTCAAGAAAGCTCTGATGGCCATTGTAACCATAGGGCTTTCTTGCACAAGAAACCCCTGCCGCGCGTCCACACTACTCTCTTCCGCAAGAGGACTTATACCTGTTATAAAAGAGTGTAACTCTTGCGCAAGAAGCCCTGTCTTCTGACGCTGTACTGTAAAACTTATTGCGCAACAGCGGGCGGGCAGTGTGGATGCTCTGTGGGTTCTTGCGCGAGAACAGCCATTCTTGTGCAAGAACCTGCCAGTGTAGACATAGCCCAGGAGGGATGGAAATGGATAAAACTGTGTGTGTGCGAATAGATTAAGGGGTGGGGGAAACAAGCAGAACACCACCAACTGAGTTTAAGACCACCAGTCTGGATGCTCAGGAGGCCCCTAGAGTGGGACATGGCTCTCCTGTAGTAGCTAACTTACTAGTTGCTATATTTACTGTTTAAGTGCCTTATTGCTGTTGCCCCCACTGAATGATGCAAAAAATATGCTTCAGGATCAATGCTGTTTCTGTCCTTTCATTATAAGAATGGCCATACTGGGCCAGACCAAAGGTCCGTCTAGCCCGGTATCCTGTCTTCCCACAGTGGCCACTGCCAGGTGCTGCAGTGAGAATAAACAAGACAGGTAATCAAGTGATTCCCTCACCTGTCACCCATTCCCAGCCCCTAACAAACAGAGACTAGGAACACCATTCTTACCCATTCTGGCTATTAAGCCTTGATGGACCTCTCCTCCATGAATTTATATAGTTCCTTTTTGAGCCCTATTAAAAGTCCTGATCACCACAACATGGACTAGAAAGGAGTTCCAATAATTGAGTGTGTGGTGTGTGAAGAGAGAGTTGTTTTTAAACCTGCTACCTGTTAATTTCATTTGGTGACCTCTAGGTTCTTATTTTATGGGAACAAGTAAATAACTTTTCCTTATTCCCTTTCTCTACACCTGTCATGATTTTATAATTCTCTTTAATACACACACACACTCTTAGTCTCCTCTTGTCTAAACTGAAAAGTCCCAGTCTTTTTAACCTCTCTTCATATGGCAACTGTCCCAAACCCCTAATCATTTTTTTGTCCACTTCTAAACGTTTTCCAATGCAAGAGATTTTGAACGGGGGGGGGGGGGGGGAGGAGGAAACAACACCCC